AGCAGTGATGATAATAATGAACATGTCTTAGTTTGTCACTTTCAGGTGAAAAGCAGACCTGAATCAATTTTCCACATGCAGCAGTCGGAAGAAAGTTATAGTTTAACATCATTGGAAACATGCAGGCCAAGTTTCTGGCTGACTTATTTACAGCGCCATGTGTCTCTCAACCTCACAAGCAAGCAAGCTCTCACCCCTCCCTGAAGACAAGGAATGCAGCTCCAAAGCAATAACATGATAAAGAGACAGCAGCAAGTCCTAAGCAAAGAGTCCCAGCAAAGCAGCAGCAATGTGGACAAACAGCATCAGAGAAGAAGAGCAAACCCATCATCCTGACTGATCGGATGAATGGCACTGTGTTTACAACAAGCTGAAACTTCACTGTGCATGTGAAGAAAACGTTTGAGGAGAACTGAACAGTTGGAGTTTGACATTTGCCACCTTGTGGAGTAAAATGGCAAGAAGAGACAGTGGAACACAGGACAAAGCTGAAGGAGAACTGCCGGCTATTGGACTGTTGAAGTGGGAGAGGACAACAGAGTGAGAGGACAACAATAGAGTGAGAGTGGTGAGAACACAAATTTTGTTATTTAATGTGGGAAATCAAAATTTGGGTTAGCAAACCTGGGGAAAAGAAAACTGACTGCTTAAGTTGGAAAATTGTGAAGGAGTCTGAAACACTGCAAAAATAGAAACATATACAAAATCACACACAAGCAGAACATGCATTAACCCTACTAACACTTCCAAACACAAGAGAGCTCATGAAGATTAGACAACATCTTAAGCATGTGAGTCTGTTTATCATCTTGTCCAAGTCACCTCGTGTGATGCAAAAACCAGTGGACTCATAGCACATTAGTTAAGAAATGATCAAATAATAGCAGAGAAGTGTGTAGGAAAGGCAGCTTTAAGAACATGCTCTGCTGGATATGCAGCTCCACAGACATGCATTAAACCTGCCTAATAACACAAACACATGTAATGAAAATTAGCTTGTTATCTTTCATCAGTGTTAAAATAGTGTCAATTTAGCAGACACTTGTTATCAAATACTGAATTTATCCAATGCAAAAAATTGACTCTCTAGGTTGCAGGACAACAATTTAACTTTTGTGGGAAAAAAATTCTGGTTTGACCAACCAGTGATCAGACAATAAATTTAGTTGTTGATATAGTAAATTGGGAGAAGCTTCCTGCTTGATTGATGCAGCACAAGTAATTTACTGTATGAGGGAAATTGTCTTTTGTGATACTATTTTGAACATGCTTTTCTGTTGTCCTGTCAACTTAGTGGGTTAATAGCTGATATGCAAATTAGTTGATCGTTCTTAGATTAATGAAAGGTGATTGAATTCTAGCACGAGTGAATGAGATGTGTTGGAGTTGTTGTGTGTTGAGTGGAGACTCTAAAACACTGAGTTTCCTGTTTTGATGTGCGAGTGAATCCTGTATTTAGATACACAACTCTGAATACGTCAGAACAAACGTCTTTTGTGAAGTGCATGACAGCATGTCACATGTTTTATGATGACGGAAAAAAAGGAAAATTGAATAAAATAGATCTGTGGCCTAAATAAGTGAAGAGCACAGACCTGGGGATTAAACTCATAGCTAATATGACATTAGGGTTATGTTGTGTGTTGTGCAGCTGATGGTTGGTTTGGAGTGAATCGAGCTGATGATTCTTCTTTTGTTGTGAAGTTGAGCCTGCCAATTAGTATGATGGTATGATGAACCATGCTACTGGTATGATTTTGTGTCATGACTTAACAAGGCCTTTTTATTTTGATACTTTCACAGTGCACTGAAAGTTTGGTTTGATAATCTCTGTTATTTTTCATTTTTCATTTTTGAACAGGCACTGATTTTGTTTGTCTATTTCTTTTCTTTAAGCAGATCTGCTGTCAGGAATTGAAAGTGCTATAAGACCTCGTAAACCGTTACAGGGTGGGTTTCTCCACATTAAAATGGGCTCTGGAGAAAGCCACTTATTGGGACAAGTTCCTGTCCAAAAAGGATTCAGCGATGTAATCCGATCTAAAAGTTCTTCTTTTTCTTTTGAAATGACGTCATTTTGCTGAGAGTGGAAACTAAATGCGACGATGGGTTCCACTATCAGCAAAGAAAGAATGAATGCATGGATGAATGAATGAAAGAGAAAAAAAACCTGACTGACTGGTAAAAGCTGACAAAAGTTACAAGACTTTACTGATGTAACACGACTGTGCGAAGTTAACCCCCACTTGACAAAGGTGCAGATGAATCTATGTGTGTTTCCTTTTACAGGAGCAGAGAGATGACAGCAACATCCGAGGTTGCGTGATGATTTAATCTTTTAAATGCCATTTTCTCTGTCTGTGAATTTACTATGTGTGTGTCATTCACTAACTTGTGTTGCTCACAGACATTACTGTGAGAAATTGTATACATCTGCGCAGCGCTAACATTTGCATTTTCTTTTCTATAGCATTAAAGTTCTTCATGTGGTTTGATCACATGATTTATACCAGGACAACTGGTTGATGTTTTTCCTACTACAGGATTTCTGGGTTTATGTGTGAAGAAAACTGTGTTTACAGGTCATGAGTGGTGATGCTGTTACACTGTGTTTTTGGGAAAATGTGAAGGTTACTTTGATGATGTGAATAACATGTGAGAAATTTCCTGTGTTGAAAACTAGTGTCACTTCTTTCCACAGTTATGGAGTTGACTTTATGGTGTTTTTATGGCACCTCTGGAATGTGGATGGCCGACGCCTGCCCACCAGGATGATCAATGTGTATTGCTAATGTTTGTTTTTCTGAGACTGCATGTAGAAGATTCAGCTGAAGCGGACAAGTGACATGAGAAAACCGAATAAGGGATGCAGTGTTTATGGTATATGGAATTTATGGAATATATTTATTATTTATTATTATTATTATTTATTATTATTATTATTATTATTATTTATTTATTTATTTATTTATGGAATATATGGAATAGTTGAAGATGGGCTATTGAGCTCATAGTAATATATAAGTGGAGTGACCTTGCTTAAGAGAAGTCACTGATTACATTAATGTTAACTGAGTACATGGGATGATCCATGTCTGAGGCAAATTATGGTAATAATAGTGATTTAATGATTTGAGAAAACCTGCACATGACACTTGTCTTGCTGATGCTGAATGCTTGTTACTCTTATGATACAATTGTTTATAAGTGTGAAGTTTGATTTTATTTCCAGATCTTGTTTTCCAGGCCATGATGGTGTGTATGCAGGCTCCTGGTGGAGCCAGTTTTTAAGACAGGGATCCAGGTTTGGTGAGTTGACGCATGAGAGTGTCCATGCATCAAGAGGTGGGGTCCAGAATTAACATTAAACAATGTTTACTATTATTGTTGCAGTGATTTGTGTGATTAGCCGTTTATTTACAAGTATTAAACCTATGCAAGTGGTGCATCCATGTTCAGATGAGGCTTTGATGGCCTATAAGTGAAGTTCACTGAACTAAAGAATGTTGTTTGATGATTGTTGACATGCTCTCCAAATAGAAGTTTTCCCTCCTAGCAAGGAAATACAGGTGCAGCAGTAATCTCCTGAGAAATCTTAAGAGGCCCAGTGAAAAGCAAGAACCATTCCAGGCATAGCTGACAGCCCAGGCAGTGGTTGAGGTCAAAGGTCGAGCTGGTTGGGGCCCATCATGAGATCAGACTTTGGAGCCACAGCAAGGACCATGAAACTGCGTTGGAATGAGAGCTGTGCCACGGGGGGTTTCCAGAGGCCAACAGAGGAGATTGTGGACAACAGACGGGCACCTGAAGGATGAGGGGAGCGTGCCAAGCTCCATCGTGCCAAGCTCCATCGACAACGCAGAGGGAGTCTAAGGATGACATCATGATTCTGTGAAAAGCACAGGAACCAGAAGCTATGGTGGTGATGACAGCAGTTTCCTATGAGGTCTGCAGCTTTGGAAATAGCTGAGACCCTTGTTGACAAACAACAAAACCAACTGGTGTTTGAATGTTTATTCTACATACATTTGGACTCTGGTCCTATGGACAATGATGGAAACAACTGGAAGAGACATTCATGACGCCCTGCAGAACTCAAACCACTCTGCAGAGACATGTGATTTGTACACCCGGAAGAAGCATCACCAAGCTGAGATGTTTTTGAAAATGTTACCTTCTTATTTTCACTATTAAATTAACAATTTCTTTGTTTGCTTGTAGGATGCAGTTTGCCATTGGATGAGATCAATGAGGAATGGGATAACTGCTAATACATTTGTTAAACTGTGTATTTTTTCAGTAATTTAGGGTGATTTGACATATGCTGAGTATAAAAATGTTTGCATTGAAACTGACAGACATGAGGTTTTCGTAACTGGGAACTTTTCAAGCATAAAGGTCAAAAAGGGGGGAAATGTTAGATTTGTATTGTTGATTGTCATTTATGCTTAGAAATATTTACCCACATATGCTTAGAAGTGTATAATCATTTGTAGATTGAAAGAATGTCTCATCCTAGGAGGTCTGTAACGGCTCTGTGTAGCATGAAGGGGGAGTGCGTTCACTCCCTCTACAGAGTGTTCTGGCGTAGATCACACCTCCTAGGAGAGGTCGTATCTTCTCTTGCTGATATATGGTATAGCAAACACACGTATATCTGTTTAAGTATAAGAGCCTTTTGTTCAGATGGACGCTCCTGGCACCAGCGTTTGGGGAGTCTTCACAGGGTCACATCTTGACCTCACACAACACACACACACACACACACACACACACACACACAGGCAAGGTACTCTTTGTGTGTATGTAGACGTCATATGTTAATGATCCTATGCACATTCAACCTCAATAAAAGAACAGTGTACGGGAGAACGAACGAGAGCGACTGGGGTCAAGCGAAGGAACGGCGCCTGTCCGGTTTTCTCTCCCGTGCACGAGAAACATGAAGAAGCTTGCCTACTTGTGTCTTGCTTTGCAGTGTAATTATATTGTCTTCAACGTTCCAGCGGATGGGTTCAAGCTACAAACCTATCACCCCCCTTTTAGCACATCCCAGCACACCCACTCACTTCACCAGATGCACCTTGTTTAGTTCTCTCACCTTTGATTGGGTGTGGTGCTTGTCCTTAATTGCACTCACCTGTCACACATTATATAAGGACTGCATTCACTTTTGGCTCACTCTTTCTTCACTTCTACACGGGGCGGCAGCAGAGCATTGGCAGTCCATGTATGTCCTTCCTTCATTCCTTCCTTGCTTTATTGATTTGAGAATAAAAGGAGCACCCTGTGAATGATTAGATGACTGCTTATTCTTATTCTAATCGGATGAGCCCATTATGCTGATTACTTAAACCCTGAGCCTTCCTTTCCTTCATAACAAAACACATACAATAGATACCTGCTAAAATACGCACGTATATTCTATCACTCCCACTGCACAATTTACACTACTCCCATTTTTCATTCGTTTTTCTATTTTTATTTTTTCTAAGATATCTTTAATTCACTCTTTCTTCCTGACATTTGTGATGCTGTAACATGTGAATTTCTGAATTTCCCCCGTGTGGGATAAATAAAGTCTACATCTATGTCTAAACTGACACGTATACCAAAATGTGCCCATTAGATTCAGATAATATCTTCAGAATTGTCTCGAAATAAACAGGATGAGGTCTAAGGGACAGAATGATCTACGCTCTAAAGCAATAAATCAGCATTTAATTCGTATGATAAAAGTCAGCCAAGTATAGATTAGTTGAATCACAGTCCTGTCCCGATGCGAAAAAATAAGTTTATATAAAATGGTCTCTATGGGATGTTTGTAAGGTGAGAACCTGTAGGTTTTTACAAAGGAATCTCTGAACAAACATGAAGAACCTGATTGACTTAACGCTGTATGCCTGTTACCTTCTGATGAGATGTGTTTGCAAGACAAGAATAATGAGTACATTTTCCTTCACTAACTCTGTGCTATGTAGGCATTTTGTTGACATTCTTTTTAAAATCCACTCAGTGCAAAAATGTTTTAGAAATGACCAAGATACAGACAGAATTTTAAGAAATGTATTCATTTCAAAAGTGAAAATTAGATTTAATCCTTACATTTTTATTTTCTCAGAGCTTTGTGATAAATGGGTGAAAGTATTTTGAAGGAGAGAAGAACAATTGGGCTATGATGCTGTTGTTTCCATCAGCTAAGAGAACAAGCCCAACAAGATCAGCGATGTCACAAAGAGCAGAAGGCTGGCAGTTGAACTGCTGGAGCTGTTGCAGAGATCACCCTGGCAGCAGCTGATTTTTGCTCCAGTAATTCCTGTGATCTCTGGATTTTGTGTGTTTGAGCAAATCATCTTGGAGGCACAGCCCTTTAATTTAAGAGTTACATCTCCTGAAGTAACTGAGAAAACAAAAATTATTTTACTGTGCAGCAAATTTGAACCAAGGAATCACTGAATGTTCTTATGAGCAGAAAAGAACAAACATGCAGACACTAAACACTGTAGGCCTGTTACCTGCTACTGAGATGCAGTAGTCCTCATTTCCATTGCAGGATAGAGTTTTATTGCAGTTGTTTCCTTCACATTGGAAGCACTTTTTTCCGTTTGGAGATGATATGCTTCCAGCTGTTAAATACAGAAATATTTGTGATACTTCTTTCTAGGGCTGCTCGATTATGGCAAAAATGATAATCACGATTATTTTCACTGAAATTGAGATAACGATTATTTGACGATATTTATTTAACAATAACAATGTATTGAATAATGACTTTAAAGATTGTCAAAAAATAATATAAAATAGTGTGCAAATACTGATAACAG